GGACTCCGCACCCTCTACCGCTGCAGCCGAGGTGGAGTCGCGGAGGAAGAGGAGTGTTGGTATGGCGATGCGCCACTCGCCCTATCCTCCGCGACTCAAACGGGGCCGCACCGTTGATGCGGTGGTGATGGGGCTGCGGGGGGAGATAATTGTTGGTATTGCGAGGCGCCGCTCTCCCTATCCTCCGCAGCCGAATCTTGGTTGGCGGCGGAGCCATAGACCAGATGCGCCGCTGGGGTCGGGATGGCTAGTACTTCTAAGTGCTCGTTTTTCCTGTCCCATGGCCTTCGCGCATCGGACGCGGGGGCGTCTGTTGCGCAAATGCAATTGGAGGCCGTGGAGGATAGCGTGCCATGTGTTCTGGTGCGCCTTACGTGGGAAGGAGAACGGGGGAGGAATATTCCTCTCCCGAGGAGGTGCTGCCATGGGGCGGCAGTCGCTGGTAGGGCCGCGGAAGTGTGCGAAAGCGTTCCCGTAGCCCTGCCAATATGCGACGAAGGTGGAACACCATGGGGTTTTAGTCGGTGCGAGTCCGACATAACCCGTCCATGCCCCCGCGAGGCGGGTATGCGTAGGCATTTCCCCATGTTAAAAAAAAAAAAAAAAAAGGTTAGGTTAGGGTTAGGTTCCCCCCCCGAACGGGTTCCCGCCTTGTCGTGGCGGGGGGGCTTAGTAGCCGTGGCTTGGTCCCCCACGGTGAACAAAGAGGAACCCACGTGGCTGGCCCGAGGTGAAGGGCCGGCCTGAGGTGGCCACTCCGAGTGGGCTTGGGGAGCCCACTTCGGATGTGTGCTGGTGGACTGCAGCGAGTGGGGACTCCCCACCCTCTACCGCTGCAGCCGAGGTGGATTCGCGGAGGAAGAGGAGTGTTGGTATGGCGATGCGCCACTCGACCTATCCTCCGCGACTCAAACGGGGCCGCACCGTTGATGCGGTGGTGATGGGGCTGCGGGGGGAGAGGATTGTCGGTATTGCGAGGCGCCGCTCTCCCTATCCTCCGCAGCCGAATCCTGGTTGGCGGCGGAGCCATAGACCAGATCCGCCGCTGGGGTCGGGAAGGCTAGTACTTCTAAGTGCTCGTTTTTCCTGGCCCCATGGCCTTCGCGCAACGGACGCGGGGGCGTCTGTTGCGCAGATGCAATTGGAGGCCGTGGAGGAAGGCGTGCCATGTGTTCTGGTGCGCCTTACTTGGGAAGGAGAACGGGGAGGTATATTCCTCTCCCGAGGGAAGTGCTGCCATGGGGCGGCAGTCGCTGGTAGGGCCGCGGAAGTGTGCGAAAACGTTCCCGTAGCCCTGCCAATATGCGACGAAGGTGGAACAACATGGGGTTTTAGTCGGTGCGAGTCCGACATAACCCGTCCTTGCCCCCGCGAGGCGGGTATGCGTAGGCATTTCCCCATGTTAAAAAAAAAGGTTAGGTTAGGTTAGGTTTTTTTTTTTGTTTAAACTTTTCTTACTACTACTTTCCTGCAGTACCCTTCTTTCTAGATGTATATTACTGTTTAGTTTTGTACCAAGTTTTTTTTTTTGTAACCGTACCGCTTACAAGTGTTTTTTTCTTTATTACACTATTTATTCATTGACAATATTACTTATTTAACTGACATATTACTTAATACTTCTTACTATTACAAAACTCGTTCATTGCACTATTTAGATTTTTACTTAAATTTCTAATATTTATATAATTAGTACTAATTGTATTGAACTAATATTTCTTTAAGTATGTATATTTTGCTGTGTTGCATACATTGTTCTTATATTCTAAACATTACATTTTACTAACTTAATAATATATAAGCTTAAAATTATTTATTTTTTTCTTTTTTTTTCCCTTTAGTTTTTTTTTCTTTCATGTTTTTGTTTTTATTTTCTTCTTTCCTTTTTTTTGTACTTATTTCAATAGTCTTTATTTTTTTTCTTGTTTTTTTATATATATATTTTTTTTACATTTTCTATCTTTATCAATATTATTTAAGATTAAATTACTTAAAGCTCTTACATTTTTTTTCTCTTTACACTTATTATTAATATTTACTGATTGTCATTTATAAGTACTTGTATATGCTTATTTCATTTTTTGTCCACTTTGCTACATCTATTATTGCTTACTCTACCATTGTACTACCATTTTCCTTACTTATAATTCTTAATGCGTAAAGAGCAAATGTCATAAAGATAGGTCGGCAAGCGCTATCCTCGATTATAATACTTAAATTACTTTTTGCGAAGGTCATTCCCATGCTGCATTCAGCTTCAAATCTTCTTCTACCGAAACGCGGGCAGTCAATGATAATGTGCTCTACAGTTTGGTTTACGTTTTCATCGCATGTGCAGCACGGGGATGATGTCAATTTATACTTATACAAGTAGGCGTTATTACCTCCGTGACCAGTAAACAGATGTGTAATTAAATTATTCATCTTTATATTTTTTATTACCTTATAAGCTATAACCACGTTGGGAAAAAAGGTCTTGGTTGTTGTGCTGGTTGTTGATTCTTCATATTTTTTTTTGCCAAATTTGAAGAGTTGTGTTTCTGGTGAGGCGCTTTGCATACGACAGTGGGAATTTATCATATTCAGACCTTTGCTTGCTTTTGGTGGCAGCTCGTTTGGCTAGTTCGTCTGCTCTTTCATTGCCCTGGATTCCACAGTGTGCCTTGATCTAGAACAGTTGAATTTGCTTTTGTTTATCCTCGATGTTTTTTATCACATCTCGAATTTTATAGGCAATTGGGTTCAAAGAGCTTGGATCGCATATGGTTATAACAGCTGATCTTGAATCGGTAAAAATATTTGTTCCTTGGTAATTTCTGTCGGCCACGTACTTTACTGCTTTTAAAATTGCGATCATCTCTGCTTGAAAAACACTGCAATAGTTTTCTAGTTTAAAGGTAATTGTCTTTACTTCAACTTTATTTTGCCAGATCGTTACTGCTGCACCTACCTTTGTGTCGATTTTACTCCCATCTGTGAAAAGTTTTGCCCAGTCGTTACTTAATTCGTCGATGTCTTTCTGTTCGCTTATTAAACCAAAACTGCGCTGCGACCTTTCACATGGATGGGGCAGATCGTAAGGGCTTATTCGCTTTTCTAGTTGTCTTCCGGGTATGAGCTCGATGGGCTTTCCTTTCTTGATATCATATATAGTTGCGTTTTCCTTTGCCCTTAATGCTAAGGGTATTATTTGGGACAGAATTGTACTAGAGATTAGGGAGTTGGTTCTATACCCTTTGCAAATACGTATGCCAAAGACCTGCGTCATTCTATTAAGTATTCGTTCGATGTATCTTTTTTCAGTTGTCTCCGCCCAACAACTAGCAACATATAGTATCGTTGGTTCGACTACCGCTAAATATATGGTTTTTATAATTTCGGAGTTTAAGCCCCAGTGGGCTTTCGCTGCTCTGGAGACCATTTTATAGATATTGGCTGCTTTGCGACAGACACTATCAAGATGAGGATTAAAATTTAAGTTTTTGTCGATTGTGAGGCCTAAAACTTTCAATTGGTCTGAAAACTGCAGTATAACTCCTTCAATTTGTAAGAGTGGTCGGTGGTACTTAAGTTTCTTAGTTGGGATTATTGACTGCGTTTTATGTGGGGCAAATTTAAGTTTGCCCCATTCTGTAATTGTTCGTAATGTATCGCTTAAGTCTTCTTCCAAATTTAGGCCGTCCTTGTTTGTTGCGACGATCAAGATATCATCGGCAAATGCTTGTACGTGAGCGCCTACATTTTCAGTTGCGATGAGTAGGGGATCGAGGAGGATGTTCCACAGCATAGGGCCACATGTAGAACCCTGGATGCATCCTTTATTTGTGGGTTTTTTCAATTCCTGTCCAGCATACCTAAGATGTATTTCTCTATCAGTTAAGTAATTACTAATAAGCCTGACCATAGATTTATCAATATGTTTGAAATTAAGTTCTTTTATTATAGCAGGCCACCATGCGTTATCGAACGCGCCTTCTATATCCAGTGACACTACTGCAACTATAGCTTTATTCTTAAGCCCCTTCTTTATTAGGGCAATTGTATCATATAAGGCATCCTCAGTACTTCGTTGCGGAGTAAATCCGTATTGTCTGTTATTTATTTTGCCTTCCCTTCCCAGTTGCCACTGGAACCTATTTACGAACAGTTTTTCCAGAACCTTATCTAGAACTGGTAGTAACCCGATTGGTCTATAGGATTTTACCAGGGTGTAGTCTTCTTTGCTGGGCTTGGGGATAACCTTAACTGTTGCTTGCTTACAAATTTTTGGAAAGTAGCCTAACATTAAGCATTTATTGTATATTGATTGCAGGACTTCCGGGTTGCTTTCAAATGCAGCTTGACATATGTCAGATGTTAAGCCATCTGCTCCTGGAGCTTTTTTCGGACTCATATTTTTTGAAAATTTCTCTTATTTCTAATTCTGTAAACGACTTGGTTGCTGATATGTCTTCGTTTTTAAATTTGTATATTATTATTTGTGTTTCAGTTCCTTATTTCAGTCTGTTCCGTACTATCAGTTTCAGAATTGGCCCATGGGTAAAATGTATCGGCTCGATGGTTCGCTGATTCGAGTACTGAAAGGATTTTTCCACTTGAGTCGCGGAGTAGCCTGTCATGTTCTCTGTTTGAACAAGCTTTTAAAATTCGGTACGTTCTTTGCCAAAGAGATTCTTTTTCTTCTCTATTACAGAGGTTTACCCAGCTTCTAGTTGTAGCCTTTTCAATTTTACTAATATATTCTTGTCTTGCCTCTAGATATTGTTTTATTACTTACTTTCTTCTGCGTGGGTTTGCGTTCCTTATTCTTCTTCTTTTCCTAATCATATCCGTTTTCTTTTCATTTACTTCGTTGTTCCACCAAACAGGATTTTTTACTTTTCGCTTCTGGTTTTTTGTAGGTATATTATTGTTACATGCTGCCAATATATATTGGGTGTATTTATTTATTGTTTCTTCTAGCTCTTGTGGTGTTTTGATTTCTTCTATTGACTCGCTAATCATATTATGCAAAATTCTTTCAGATCGATTTTCAGATTGCTCCAATTTGCCTTTTTAGCATTATAAATCCTTGTGCCATGAGTGTTGATTGTGGTATTAAAAAGCTCTATTTCGAGAGTGAATGAGACTGATTTGTGACTTGATATTGTGCATAGTGATTCATCTACTTGCCAGTCTTTTATTCGATGGAGTAATGATGGTGAGCAAGCGGTGATATCTATTATACTAGTGCATAATTTATCCATTCTATAAACAGAAAATGTAGGCGTAGTGCCTACATTAAGGATATCAAGATTGAGTTCCGCGAATGTTTCCATAATGATTTTTCCTCTGCTTTCATCTGCTTTGCATCCCCACCAGATGCTCTTTGCGTTGGCGTCTCCTCCTATTATGATGTCATTGGTTGCCATGTTTGATTTGTATCTCCTGATCATTTGTAGGTCTTCATCGAGGTTTCCCTTTTCATGTAGATACATTATAATATACATATTTTTAAGTAACCTAGTTCTAATTCTACACCAACTATGTCCTCAGAGAGGAGAGTCGGATTGATAGTAAATCGTATTGTGGGATCGCAGATAACAATTGCCGACCTAACAGGTTTGCCTCTATCATGGGTAACTTTTTGTATAATCCGATACTGAGAACCCGTTGTTAAATGAGCTTTGGCACCAACGTATGGTTCCTGCATTAAAATCGCAGAGTATTCCTGCATCATGGCTGCACGTAGGCACTCAAGTGTCGCCGCCCGCCCACGGTCCAGATTTATCTGTATTAATTTTATGTGCTTCTTTGAACTGGAAGCTTTCTGGAGTTCTAAGTTTGTATTTTCGTTGAGTATTTCTTAACAATAGGAGACTGATGATCTAGCAATTTTGTCCCATTTTTGCCATTCTTGACATTCTGTGCTGTATGCTGGATGTAAAAAGTTGTCTTTTCTAGCATTATTGCAGTTACAACACTTAGGAACATTGTTGCGATTCGGACAATCCCTTGTATCATGCTCCTCAGCACAATACCCGCAGCGTTGTTTACTATTACAGTCTTTTGCTTTGTGGTTGAAGCCAAGACATTTATAACACTGTGTGAGTGCTGATTGGTCAATACAGGGAATGACTTGGTAGCCGATCCGCAGTTTTTGATTTTTTAGCTTTGACCAAATTTGAGGTGAGGCTTCGAGTATAACATTATTGACCTCTCTGACCCTTTCTTTGGTTCTGTGTAAAATTTTTATACCTTTCTATTCTTCTGTTAACCCTTGTAATAAACAACAGTTCTGACTTGTGATGGCTTTAACTAGTTTGGTGTCTGTTAAGTCATTTGTGACGCCCACTAGGCGCAGCTGTGGGTGTTTAGTTGCAGGTGTTGACACTGTTAGTCTATCACAGGTGTCAAGAATTGCAGTTTTAAGAATGTGTCTGTCCTGCTGAGAGTCACAGCTTATTATTACTTTTTGATTTTTTAATTTGGAAACTTTATTCACGCGTACTCCTAGATCTACATGGTCCACATCTTTTCTGACCTGTTTTAAGATATCTTCGCAGGTTGAGCGTGGATCTATAGACTCTATTATCATTGCAAAGCGGGGGGTACTAGTTGCTTCTGCGTAGGATATTTTAGATATTAGTGGATACCCTAGCGGAATCGTTTTGCTTTAATCGATTATTCTTCTCATCTATATAAGTGTTATTATGGGAGATATTTTTAAGTTCGTTAATTTTATCCTTGATTTCTGTTATTGCTAACTCAGTTCCTAATCCAGTATTTTCTTGGAATGCTATTTGGGTTGTATTGAAGTCTTTAAAATCATTTATTTCATTGAGTACGATGTTCAAGAGATGGGTTATTGGCTTTATTGAGTTTTCTAGGTCTTCTTTTGTTAATGTTGTCTCCTTGTGTTCTCTTTCCCTCGCTAAATTTTCAGTTTGATATGTTTCTATTATTTTTTTGTGTTCTCTAGCTCCGAAATTATTTGATCTATTCGGGGGTCTATATGTGTGCTATTTCTCGCGCAAGAAGATTTTTCAGTCTCTAATTTAGTTTCTCTATTTACGAACTTCTGTACTACCAGGCTTAGGTTGGTTATTTTTTGATTTAATTCTAATATATCTCTTGTCAGAGAGGCATAGCTTTCAGAATAATTATCTAAATGGGCAATAGGTGTTTCCTTTGTGGGTAAGGATTGAGTCTTTATTGCAAGGCCATGTATTTCAAGCTGGATTTTGCTGATTGTCTTAATGGATTCATCCATTTCGTAATTAAGCCAAGAACGTATTGACTCAGCAATCTTGCCCGTATTTTTTATGGCATCATATGTCTCTATGAGCTTATTGTAATGTGAGGTTCGAATTTCAGCTAGCTCTTTATTATGGGCTCGTTTGACACGTACTAATTCTTTTGCGGCTCGCGATCTTTCCTGTTCCACTGCAAGCCGGTGCCGAGAGCGCGAGTCCGATAGCGACAGCACAGTTTCATAAAGGCCCTGGAGACAGTCATGAACTTCGCTTTTACATTCTTTTTTCATGTTTCCTGCCTTCTCCAGGGCTTCTTTTCCAGAGAGCAGAAACTCATTCGCTCTCTGGGTTGCTAGGTCCATAGAGATACCTGCACGTTTATATGCTGGTGCTAAAATGCTGGACCTTTTACTGTTGTCACTGACTATGCTATCGCCATCCGACCATTCATCCTCCGTCTCTCGAACAGGCTTGCAGAGGCCTAAAGCAGCCAGCTCTTTGTTAATATCCATTGTTATTGAGCTGCCTTGGCTTAGTTTTATAAGTCCACTACTACCTTCGCTGGTTCGTCCAGTTGGAGCAGCGCCTGTGAATTTAGATTCACTCTCCACCATCGTAAGATCTCGGCCGTCCTGACCTTCTTCAGGTGCTCTTCCAGAAGTAGCTGCGTTTTGAATCAAAACTTTCCTACTCAGAGCCACACTGGGTGCTGGACTTCCTCCTCTACTTGTTTTAGCAGGCTTTGGTTTAGCAGAGCTAGATCCCGATGAACCGGATTTACAGGACATTTTTTTTTCTTAACTTGCTGAGCTCACTTTTTCTGGATTATAGCAATGAATTTCAACTTCTCAAACGATCCTGAGAAGTTTAAGCCCAAACACGACTACAATCGGTTGAGTTATACCAGAGTTATAATTAGTGGATTTTTTTCCAATATGGCGGTCGAAAATTTCTTTTATTTATTCCGTAGCCAGTTTAAACTCTAAATAGTCCAAGTTTGGACTCAATCTCTATAAAATCGTTTGAGCTATATGTTCCCGCTGACTTTAGGTACCAATAAGTGTTTTGTAAGGTGATCACGAAATTGGCTTCGTCAAGCGCTCCCGATCAAAATAAGGTCAAGTACGACAATTTTCGACAGTCAAGTTCATGAGATATTCTAATAAAACTAATTTCAAGATGGCGGCTAATTGGACCAAATTTATGTATCTCGGCGATGGAAAGAGATAAATTGGTCAAGTTTGGGCTCTATGGATATAGGTCTCGGTGAGTATATTATGAAGTGATAGACAAAAAATAAAAATTTGTTTTATTTTGGAAATTAAATCCAATAAACCTTAAAAATACTATATCTTTTTAGCCACCAGAGATAGCTTCAGTCTGCAAACGCATTTAAGTTCGATATTTAGTGGGTTTCTTTTTGCGTTATTCAAAACCACCCGCACTAATCCGGAAATGCGACCTCGTGAAAGTGTTTTTTCACGAAAAAATGTTTGCAGACAAAACCGTTAAGTGAAAAAAATCTAATTTTTTTGTGGATACCTTAAGAGATATATAACTCACATATATCTAAATTAAAAAAAGAGGTATTATCGCTCAAAATTAAGAAATAAACAGCTCCAAATATAAGTAAAATTTAAAAATTTGGATTTTTACCAATAAAGTTTTGGTTCTTAGTCCGTTTTGCCTCAAAAAAAGATTATTTGTACTTAAAAATTAACCCCAAATATAAATACATTGTCAGAAATAAGTTCAGATGTTTGGTTTAAAATTTAGTGGCCACGTGGTTTTTCAGTTTTCTTGCTGTAGTTCAGTTGTTTCCAAGCGAAAAAAATCAAAAAATAACGGAAATATATGGGCAATACAGAGACCTATAAAATGACACCAAAAAAAGATATAGACTATAGATCACTTTTAGCAGCGTTTGCGAAAAAGTAGTGAAAATTTTACCTTTTTTTAGCTTTTAGGTTATCTCCGTTGTCTAGATTCTTGAAAATCACTTGAAATTTTCAACACAGCAAAAAACAAACACAGCCACGTATTAGCACTACACAAAACACAGCAACACGGAAAATTACAGGCAAATCGGAGAACTTTTTCAATATTTAACGATTTTTAACAACGGGAGCGCTTTAGAAACGATGCGTTCGCGACAGCAGGCGGTTCGGTATTGGATTAGGTTAGGTTAGGTTAGGTTCCCATGTGGAGTTGCCAGTCCTCCCATCGGGCGCGTCCCCAGATGGCGGATAGGGGAATGCCACTCAGATATGAGTGGTAGCGGGAAACCGTCGCGGACCAAAACTGGCTGGATTTGGGCGTACCTGTGGTTCCGAATGGAATCATAGGTACGAGGTACTTTTGTTGCTTCCCGTATCCTCTCCATTGAGAGGAACAGAGAATGTGACATGCGCGGTGAGATGCCAGGTGCACTCGGCTTTTGCCGACGCCGGGCAGCGCGTCATCGCGGGATTTTCAGGGACTACATCCTGAAAAAAAAGGAAATTGAATGGGCTCAGGGTTCCCTCACCCGGTCTCTGGGCAGGCATGGGAAGAACCTGTATCGACTCTGCCACCGTTCGAACCTCGGAATCCCTTTGGCGTGTCGTGGATCATGTCTCGCGGCGCCTGAGGGGCCGAGGGCTCTTGGCTTAACCGCCTGGAGTCGCGAGGATGATAACCTCTATAAAAAATCACCCGAAGCTCAAGCGTGGCGCGCCTTGAGGAGCTGCATGGCTGATGGGTAAATGTTCAGTCGTTAGCGTTGCTCCCGTCAGGGTACCGGCCGACACCCTTGACGGGTTACACATAGGCTTATCCGAGCAAAGGGGGCACTGCTCGGACGGACTATTATTTCCTCCACAATCGTGGGAAAAAAAATGGAAAAATATGAAAATTATAAAACATCAGAAGGAGATAAGCAAGCTGGATCGGAATCAGATGCAAGCCTTTGTAGCGATGTATCAAGGACAGCTTCTAAGTCTGGAGGTCGCTCCCGTGGGGCGAAAAAGAGACGTATAACAAAATCAATATCGAAGAAGGACAGAATGAGGTGCCACGAGTGTCGCAGGAGGAACTTGGTGCGGCAGTTTTAAAACTCCGAGCAAAAAAAACCAAAGCTCCAGGTCCCGACGGTATTCCTGGCCGCGCCTGGGTTTTAGCCCTCAAGGAGCTAGGGGAACGATTCCGCAGGCTACTTGATGCCTGTCTGGAGATGGGACGGTTCC